CTCAACGAGATGTTCCTCATTCTCAAGTCGTTGGTTCCGTCCATTCAAAAGGCAATGAAGATATATGCCATCAATTTTTTTATCCTTCCGTGTTGATTTGAGAACGTTTGTTCGTTTGTATCAAAACTCGAAGACGTTTCTTTTTATAAAATTTGGCAGGTGAACAAAGTGTCGGTCCTCGCCGAAACGATAGCCTACCTCAAGGAGCTTCAGCGAAGGGTACAAAGAGCTGGAATCCAGTAGGGAACTTCTGTCGCGCCCATCCAACACAACAGAAAGGCCTACAACTACAAGGCCCGTGGCATTGGCAATGAGGTGTCAGGAAGAAACTCTCTGCGGGCTCCAAGAGGAAGAGCCCAGAGTTCGGCGGTGACGTGGAGAAGGAGCACGGCCATCCCAGCTGGGTCCTCCCCAAGGACGGCACCAGCAACGTCACCGTCACCGTCTCGGACAGGGACGTGCTCCTGGAGGTGCAATGCCGGTGGGAGGAGCTCCTGATGACACGGGTGTTCCACGCCATCAAGAGCCTCCACTTGGACGTTCACTCGGTTCAGGCTTCGGCACCAGATGGCTTTATGGGGCTCAAGATACGAGCTCAGGTATCATCTCAGTATCACCACCAGCTAACTAATTAAAACATGGCAATTGCAATACTGCTCTGGTTAATTAGCAGTTGTGTAGCTCTCGCTTGACTTCTTGCTGGTTCGAGAGTTTGTTTTACTGATGATGATGTTTCTGTTCAATTCCTGCAGTTTGTTGGCTCCGGTGCCGTCGTGCCCGGGATGATCAGCGAGGCTCTTCGTAAAGCTATAGGGAATCGATGAAGAGACGGCTGAAAGTTGGATATCGATCTGGAATAAGAAAGCTTCATGAATCGAAGCAAAGTTGTATTTCTTGTGGAAGCCTATTATATTTCTACAAAATCTGGTGTACTTTCTCCTTCTCTTTTTAAGTTTTGTTCTCGCTTTTCAAGAGTCAAACGGACTCAACTTTGTCCAAATATATACCCATGGTGCAATATGTATAAGTAGATTAATCATAGAATATACTTTTATAATAATTTATTTGGAGATATAAATGTTACTATATTTTTTATAAATCTAGTTAAACTTAAGAAAGTTTGACCTGTACAAAAATCTAGCGACACTTAAAAAGTGATGGAGGAATATTTTTGTTTTTAGATTTTCGATCGCCAACCATATCCGATTTGATTTTATCACTCCAAAGTAGAAACTAGGGTGGTCTATGCAAAAAGGTAGCGGAGGCGGAGCTATATTCTCTTGAATAAGACTTCGGTTTCTTTTATTAAAAGCTTATAATAAGCAATATGTTTATGATCTTCAGTATTAAGAGGCTACAAACTAAATTCAGAATTTATGTAACCAAAACTAAGCATTACATTGTTCGTTGCTGATAGTGCATTTAGTCAAACATAGTTACATATACATACATATCAAATAAGGAAAATCGGATCCGGTGATGCGATTGTAGCTAGTCATTTACTTGTCGTTTTTGCACAAAAAAAAATAGTTAGTTCTTTTAGTTTGCAATGATGCCCACCTGGTTTTACATCCAAATTTGTGTTTGGATGACACTGATGGCCAACAAGAATAATTTTAAAACCTCCACGGTCCCACAGCTTCGCTTAATAGTTAATACTCCCATGACGCCTGATGTTATTGTTGGAGGAGATGCATATTTTATTGTTGGGTCGTAGACTCCCCTGCCATCCTGGATCGGGCAGCAGAACGCGCAAAGCTAAAGTCGCGCAGAATTATTGTGAACCTTATTACCGTATCCTCTAATGCCACTCCAGCAATACATGGGGGGACGGGGAAAATCTCGCAGCAGAAGCGATTCAGAAAAGCAAGGTGCCATTAAACAGCACCTAAGCATGTAGATTCCATATGAAAATGATGAAGTATATAATGCACTTCGGAACACCAATCATGTCAATATATTATAGTATATATATCATTGGCAATCCGACATTGAGTCATGCCCTCAATGCTACAACAGGGATAAAGGGAAAGTGTAATTAATAACTCTTTTGAAAATAAAATAAAACTTAGGACGTCTCCAATCAGTTCAGCAATGGTGGAATACCACTGGGAAGAGGCTAAATCCTCAACAAAGCGCAGCCGCAGATGCTCCCTCGACAATGTGTCATCGGTGACCCTGGTCTCCAGGTTGGTCTCTCACTTGTGACGTTCAAGATATCAACATCAGATAGCGGCTTGATGCATTGGTTTCTCGGCCCAGGTCCAATCACTCCCCAACCAAATATATGTTGTCACCCACACCAATCATCCTGAAACCGATCCTGCTCTGGAACTCAGATGCGCATGACACCATCTTATCAGGGAAATTCTCACCACGTTGCTTCATAATACAGCTGTTACTCAGCACATACAACTCTCCACCAACCATCGCCATCGGGCCTTGCAGCCAAGAAAATCCTCAACAGCCCAATGACTGCCACCATCTTCCAGAATCTGCACTGTCGATAGACCTTTATGCAATACATGCATCTTACCCTTGATGACAAGTCCAGTACATGCAGAGCTGTGAGCCAGACGAAGGTCAGGGAGAGGCTCCCATAGGCCAGCTTCAGGGTCATAGATCTCAGCCTTTGATATCGATTTGCGGCAGTTAGTGAAGCCTCCTCAAGCATTTATTATTTTCCCATCCAATGCACAACAAGCAAACATCGCTCGAGCCACAAGCATAGGAGCCCTCTGGGACCACACTCGGTGGAGCGGATCATAAGACCAAACCTCATTGCTTGCAAAGATCCTGTCGTGATCTCCAGTAAGCGGATCAACTCGATCACTGCCACCACCAATTACATAGAGCTTGCCAGCAACTGAGGCCACTCCAAAGCGGGCTATGTTCCTAATCTGAGATGGCATGACAGGGAGAGTTATCCACTTGTCTCGTAGGGGATCATAAAGTTGCCACATGTTTTCTGGTTCAAATGCCAACACACAAAGAGCTCTTCTGTCGCGTCAATCTGATTCCGAATTTTGAGAAGTTCATACCGCAAACTGATGCTCGCCAAGAACGGCAAACCAACTGAAGCATCGGATGGAACAAGAATGGCACCCGTGCAAGGCACTGGAGAGCAACTTCGTTAGGGAGACCATCAAGTAAGGTCGATGGCATTGTGCACGATAATATTGCAGCAATAAAGCAACAATACTTATGAAGCCTGCACATAATCAAACATAACAAGTTAGATATATTGTACAGCAAAATTGGGATTGTACTTTCAACATTAATAATCAGGTGTCCATCTAAGTGCTACTATTCAAACTAAATATGGATGAAAAATAAATTATGTAAAGCAATAGTTCAAAGCAGGACATCAAACACACAATCAAGTAATTAACAAAAATGTGTTTAACTGAGGCTAAAAATAAACTTGTATGATCAAAGCATCATAGAGCTATTCCCCTTAATATGTGCTACTGTGAACAAATAACTATGAAGAGGTTACATAAGAAAAACATACTACCTCCTCCCCATAAGAGGTAGAGATAGAGATGTATTGGAAAAAAAGAAAAGTGCATTGGGAAGTGAGAATGACAACTAATTTGGAACAACTTCAGAATGCTATAAGGTCGAGTATTATGGGACAGAAGGAGTACTCTACTACGTCTTATTTGTAAATTAGCTACGTTGACAATGGGTAGAGGAAAATTTTATCCCAGTACTCAAGCATTTCTACATAGACCACGCAAGATCAGCATAAGCTTCAGTTAAGCTACCTGAAAGCTTTGTGTTCCTTAAAATTTTTTAGCATACAATCAGTACGATTATTTGATAATAGATATAGCTTAAAAAAAACAGAATTCATCAGTAATTAGGTTGAAAAGGCAGGAGCTCCACATGGGATGTGGCAGAACAAACTGTAACTAAAGGGCTTGTAGGTTTTTAGATGTTCAGACAATGAGACATGTTTTTTTATGGTTTATTGGGTTCTATATTCAGCCTTGTCCATATGCTCCAAGACACATGGTACATCCCTATCTAACTTCCTATGAGCAACAATTTGTGTGTGTGGTTGGTAGGGGGGACCTACATTGAACATGGTCACATACATGATAACATGATGCAATTAACAAGAAATTCAAACAGGGGCAACCACAAAAATGATGCGAAAAGCAGCAACTTTCACCACTTTATCCATTAAACAAACACTTCCCAGTTGAACCAAAATTTGTTCTAAATGCAAAGTATCACAAAAGAAAACTATGCATGGAGGAAACAAATGGCATGTAACCCAGTAAAATTAGGCAGTAGCCATAAGCCTATGCATGTCAAACGGGCTTAAAAGAACAATAAAATTACATGGAAGTCATTTTTTTACCATATCTTGTGCCAAAGAATATATGTATCTCTAATGCAAGGAAAGTAATCCAGTCTAGAATCCCAGACATGGAAATCTCACCAGATCAGGGACAAGAAATTCACGCCTAATCAAATATACTAAAATCCAAGCATGGGCAAATATTGGCTACAATCTCAAGGAAAGATTGCTCAAGAAATGGAATGAGAGTGAAAGGGATTTGAGGCTTAACAAGTAACAACTATATTGACTTCCATGTGTTATTCAGGAACTTTATAGTATATAGGATATACCATTATCTGTCATTGTGTATTTTGATTCATGATTTTAGATGAAAGGAACAAAACAAACACCCCAGAAAAAAAAAGAACTTTCCTGTAGCTTGGCTGACCATAGTCACCGAAAAAAACTAGCTAAAGCAGGAAATGGCACTGCCTCTATGTTAATGTTATGTTGTTAGCTCACTGAAAACACCAAGCATGCAAATGATATACTTATAGGAGACTTTAATCTACACCAGATATACTAGAAATAGGGATGCAAGTGGGCTGCAAGAGATGGCAACGGGGAATTCCCCGTCAGGGATCGCCTCCCCATCCCCGTACCCGTGGGGCAGAGAAATCCCCGTCCCCGTCCCCGTCAAACCTCGCGGGGGAGGTTTGCTCCCCATACCTGAGCCCGCACGGGGATTCCATACCCGATGGGGTCCCCGGCCCCGAGCAAGCCAGAGCGGACTATACTGTTTCTCTCCCATGAATCGATCCACAGCCAAAAGAAATCACCCATGAATCAAACCAGAAACAAAGGAACCAAATAAGAATGCTCCCATGAATCGATCCAGAAACAAAGAAATCAATTAAGAAGGAGCAGATCTGTAGAGACGCGATGTAGATCCGCTGAGCTTCTACCAGCGGCGGCGCTCCTGCTGCATATAGCGCTCCTGCTCCGGCGTCTTCTTGGGTAGGAGACTGAGGAGGGGCGGTAGGGGCATCGGTTGGACGGAGCCGCGGCCCGCGGAGGCTGGCGCTGCGGTGCTGCCAACTACCTTACTTGCTGCGGGCTACGGCAAATCGGTGGAAGGCAGAGCCACGGAGGGAGCGGACGGGCGGTTGCACGCCGAGTGGAGGGCGGCGCGTCCTCTGAGTCGCGCGGAGAGACGCGTCCCCGTGTTCAGAGAAACGGGTCCGCAGGCCATCCTGGTGAGGGTCGGGTGAAGGGCTGGATGAATGGATAAGATTTTGGATGAAACGGGTCCATAGGTCATCCTAAGAAATGTTTGCACAACTTTGTGTGAATATGCTCAAAACAGGGATCCACAAATTGGCCTCATGGGCAGGAATAGGATATTGGCATACTGGCAGACGCATGGAGCACAGAATACATGGGAAGTCATACATACCCTGACCTGCATAAATGTAGCTGAACACTGGTAGATAATGGACCGGAGCAGGCAGGCGTACGAATCAAGGATTGGACGAATTTGTCGCGCCCAGGTCCGATGCGGCGTAACCTGGTTGAGGTGGGGATTTCTACGAATCAAGGATTGGACGAATTTGTCGCGCCCAGGTCCGATACGGCGCAACCTGGTTGAGGTGGGGATTTCTGCAAATTCACACGCATGCGTGGTCGATAATTTTGGGGGAATAACAAACCTGTAAATTCAGTAATCGCATGAGATCGGAATACAAATAGGCAAATAGCATAGGTTAGGGTTTGGTCGATAATACGTGAAAAAATCAGAAGCGGGTAGTAGGCATAAACACTTCTAAAATCAGTAATCAGATGAGATCCGAATAGAAATAGCCAAATAGCATATGTTAGGGTTTGGGCGCTCTGGTTTCGCGCAGCAATAAGGGGAACAGAAGGGGTCGGCATACCTGGTGGGGCGCCCGTCGCCGAAGAAGGCCCGTCGAGAGGACCTGGGCACCCGGCTTACGGTGGCGCGCTGCTGCGCAGTAGTCGTCGTCACCGTGGGATACCGAAAAGCAGGGCGAGCACATGCGGCGGCGGCTGAGACGTGGACGGGTACCGCGAGGGAGAAAGGACGGATAGGCGCTGGGATTCCGCGCAGGTAAACCCGACGGCACTGCTGCGGCGCCGCGCCGCGGCGAAGCTGCTGCGGTGGTGCGCCGCCGGAAGTCGCGGGTGAGGTGGGCGGAGGCGGCTCGGCGCTGCTGCGGGGCGACGTCGCGGCTGCCGGAGGGCGCAGGTAGGGCGGTGCTCCGTCGGGGTCGCGTCGAGGCCGGCGGAGGTTGCAGGAGCGGCGGGGGGGCGGGGGCGCGGCGGGCTTGACGGACCGCTGGGATAGGGGTGGGCACGGCCTGCTGGACGCGTGCGTGGCGGCCATCCGCTACCGGGCTGCAGAATCCGACGGGCAATATACGATGGAACTGTGGAATGAACAGGGAAATGTGAGGGAAGGACGGGCTGCCACTGTTGGTCGTCACCAAGATTAAAGATCTCTGTACATACATACATAGTATATACATAGTACTAATAACATTTATGTGGAGATAAAAAAAATTTAGGCATCGTTCCTTTAGCGCGGATTGAGGGCCGGAAATAATCCAGCTGATCATTACTATTATAAATAAACTTGACATTCCATCCAGAAACGGGTCCTTATGTGACCAAAAATATATTACATAATAACTAAATTAGTAATACTTATTTGTATCATAAATGTTTATATGTTTTTTACAACTTTGATCAAATATCAGGCTGTTTGACTTCTTAAGAAATGATAATTGTATTTTTGTGTGTGTGAAGGTATGGCAGCTTCTCTATTTTGACTTAGACTTATCTTTATCTTTATTTTGGAAAAAAAACTCTATCCACCAAGATAAGACAGCCCCGATCATTGCATTGAGAAGAAAGCTTTCTCACGCAGGTCGATGTCGACGAAATCTGGTCGGTAGTCTACCGAGAGGTATGCCCACGGTAGTAGATGAATCGATGGAGGTACGCGTAATAGTAGCCGGATGGCGACACAAGCGCAGACAAGCGATTTAGACAGGTTCAGACCGTCTGATCGACGTAATACCCTACGTCCTATGTCTTCGGTGGATTGTATTGAATATGAGATGTATTCGAGGAGGGTCCCTACCCGCCTTATATAGTCTGGAGGATAGGGTTATAAGTCGGTTTAAGTCTAGATCTATTCGGCTATATGGTAAGTATTTATAAGGAATACGATATCTATCATATCCGAATAGATCTTCCTTTATCGCTAAGATGTCTTCTGATTGCCTTGCGGTGCACACTGACCAGAGCCGAGCTCCGTAGGCCTTGATCTTATGGGTTGGACCTCCCCTAGCGGTGCAGCCCATGTTCATCGCCGTGGGTACCTAGGGTTATACCCCCACAGCTAGTCATCGAGTGCCTTGTATCCAATGAGCAACGCCGTCTTGAGCAGGTCCGAGCAGTTTAACTTGGAGTCTGACAGTTAATCTAGCAATCCGACCAGTTTAACTGATAATCCAATCAACAAAATGAAATATCGACCAGTTTGACTGGTAATCCGATCAACAAAATGAAGTCCCGACCAATTTAACTGGTCAACAGGCCTCGAACATACTCAAGTAAGGCTTGCTAGAAGGATGTAAGGAGCTC